GCTGAAGTCGGACGCTTAACCGACTGCGCCACCCAGGCGCCCCTGAAAGCTATGTTTATTTCCATCTTCTTTCTTACATGTACTCAGAAATCAGTGCAGACCTTTATTTCTGCAAATTGTTTCCAAGTAGGCAGATCATTACATTCTACTAGCACCACCATAGTCTAAAGAGAACAAACACCAGAGACAGAAACAATATTCCAGCCCCCAGAAACCGACTTGTGCTCCCTTAAATCACTAAGACCCCTGTCCCCACCTCACACCTGCCAGGTTATATCTTTTTTGATTCTCTTTTACATCTTGGTAGTAAGGTGGCTCTGACAACACTTTCACACTTCCAGATCTTTTTTTTTTTTTTTTTTTTTTCCAACGTTTATTTATTTTTGGGACAGAGAGAGACAGAGCATGAACGGGGGAGGGGCAGAGAGAGAGGGAGACACAGAATCGGAAACAGGCTCCAGGCTCTGAGCCATCAGCCCAGAGCCTGACGCGGGGCTCGAACTCACGGACCGCGAGATCGTGACCTGGTTGAAGTCGGACGCTTAACCAACTGCGCCACCCAGGCGCCCCCAGATCTTCTTTTTATTAACAATGAAAGAGCAGACCTCCTGTTAGACCTTCAACAGGTGATAGTTCAGCTAGAATTTTGTGATTTTTCACTGTTTTTATTATTACCTTTATTATCATTATTATCCTTTTTATCTTCAGTGTCATGAGTGTCATGAGTTTGTTATGGTAGCCATATAAACTTTCCTTCTGAATAAATACATTTAAGTCAAAAATGCCAGTCCATTCAAAGAAAAATATCACAGGTAAATATAGATTTGGTTTTAAAAAAATAGATGATTTTCAAATGACTAACGTTTAAGAAAACTGGTACCATTAAAGGACAGGCACCGGACTCAGAGTGACTCAGGTTGAATCATAGTCCTATCTTTAACTAGCTGCACCTTTTGCACATACTGAATTTCTCTGGGCCTCAGTGTTCATGTCTGTGATATGGGGTTGAAAGTTCCTGCCTATGAAGGAAATTGGTAGTTGTGAGATCAAGGAGAAAGAGTTAGTTCTTCTATAGTCCCCATACCATGTGCTACAATTAATATCCCTTTAAAATACGTAAAAGTGGTCATCAGTGAAGAATATCTTGTAAATATAACGTTTTCAACTGTGAATGAATCATGATTAGGTTGTATTACATCATTGTATGTACTAAGGAAAACCTTTAAATAACTTTGCCTGTGATTTTTCAACCTCGGAAGACCATTATTTTAACCCTGGTTTTGTGTAATAGAGAAACTTACCTTAAGTGTCTTTCCCAAGTTATTAAAAAGATCTCGGGTAATGTTTTGTTTATTTTTGTTTTTTTGTTTTTTTTTTTGCTAAAGAATACCCAGATTATTGTAATTAAAAGAGAAGTGATTCTTTGGCATAAAGGTTTTATTTGAAATAGTTTGTTGCATCTAGAAAAGGAAAAGAAAATCAAAATTAAAGAAGCCTTGCATTTTTTTGCTAACAGTTTTCACTGTTCTCTTTTATTTCAGTCTTTATCCTCATCTCTACTCAAGAGCATACATTAATTTTAGAAATCCTGATGACATCCTTCTTTTTAGAGATCGTTTTGATGGATATATCTTCATTGACAGTAAAGGTTCGATTGTTGGCTTTTTAAACTATTATAATCTCTAACTACATTAATTATGTTTTGCTGGAATGTTTGTGAACTGTAATTAAGTTCTCAGATACCGACTTAAAATAAGTTCATAAATTTTTATTGTGTTACTGTGGTTATGTGCTTGTGTTGAAAATTGAAATTACGTGTAAACCAAAGAACTCCAGCAAGTCTTTGTAATCTATTTATGTATTATCAGAGAGTGAAGTTTTTCATATAAATGAGTTTCCTGGATAAGTGAGCTTCACTTTCTTATGTACCAAAACTGAATTGCTTTGTTCATATTAAATATAAGTCTTTTAAATTATATTATTTACTTATATCTATGTCTTAAACAGAGAACTTTTTATAATCATACATTTCTGGATTATGTCATGGGGGAAGGGGATTGTAGTAACGAACATCACTTTCTCACTGTTAAACAGCTGCCCGCTGAGACAGCTCTGTACTTTTGGGTCCTCCCTTTGTCCTCCTTTCCTGTCAAACTGTCAACTGTTGTGTCCACTGCAATCAAGTCTGTACACCTGTATCAGCATATTCTCTGTACACCTTTCACCAGCCAGCCTCCTCCCACTTCACCCACCGCACTACTGATAAGTGTTTTCTTCTCCAATGAGAGGGAGCAAGAAACCCTCAAAGAGTGACTAGGCCAAGAGATTCTTTTCTTTGAGCAAAAACAAATTTAATGCTTGAACTATTTGACATTTGTGTTAAATGCTTGTTTATTCAAGTGCCTTTTTCCTTTAGTTTTTAAAAAGTTATGGTAAGATACACAAAACTAGATTTACCATCTTAGTCTTTCCTGAGTGCACAGTTCAGTAGTGTTAAGTACATTCACACTGTTGTGCGGCCCACTTCCAGAACTCTTTTCACCTTGTAAAACAAAAACTCTGTACCTGTTAGATAACTCCCCTCTCCTCCCCCACCCCCAGCCCCTGGCATCCACCTTTCTGTGTTTTGTTTCTATGAATTTACTACTCTGGATACCTCCTATAAATGGAATCTTACAGTATTTCTCTGTTTGTGCCTGGCTTACTTCATGTAGCCTGGTGTCCTCAGTGTTCACCCATGTTGTAGCAGGTGTCAGAATTTCCTTTTTAAGGCTGAGTAATATTCGGCTGTGTGTGTACCACATTTTGTTTATCCATTTTTCAGTGGACCCTTGGGTTGCTTCCAGCTCTTTGTTGTGAACAGTGCTGCTGTGAACATGGTGTGCAAGTATCTCTTGGACACCCAGCTTTCAGTTTTTTTGGGTGGATACCATTGTGGAATTGTTAGATCATATTATAATTATAGTATTAATTTTTTGAGGAACTGCCCTACTGTTTTCTGTAGAGGCTGCTTCATTTTCTCTTCCTGCTGATAGTGCACAGGGTTCCAGTTTTTCCATATCCTTGCCAGCAATTGTTGTTTTCTGGGGTTTTTTGGTAACAGACATCCTAGCAGGTATGAAGCAGTATCTCATTGTGATTTTGATTTGCATTTCCCTAATGCTTAGTGATGTCGGCATCTTTTTGTGTGTTTGCTGATGTCTTCTTTGGAGGAAGAGAAATGGAGGGATGTTCAATTTCTTCGCCCATTTTTAAATTGACTTGTTTCTTGTTAAATTGTAAAATTTTTGTTAATATATTATAGATCTTAACCCCTCATTGGATATATGATTTTTTTTCCCATTCCATAGGTAGTCTTTATATTCTGTTGATGTTTCAGTGCTTGCTTTGGCAGCACATATACTATATTCTGTTGATGTTTCTAATGTGATGTCCAATTTTTCTTTTTTTATTTTAGTTGCTTGTACTTTTGGTGTCATATCTAAGAAGTCATTGCCAAATCTAATGTCAAGCTTTTACTCCATGTTTTCTGCCAAGGGTTTTATAGTTTTAAGTGTCATGTTTAGGTCTTTGATCCATTTTCAGCTAACTTTTGTCTGTGATACTAGGTAAGAGTTCAACTTCATTCTTTTGCATGTGGTTATCCAGTTTTTCCAGCACTATTTGTTAAAGAAGATTGTCATTTCCCCCATTGAATGTCATCTTCCCAATTTCCCCATTAGAGAGAGAGCATGTGTGAGTGAGGAAGAGGGGCAGGGAGGGGGGAGAGAGAGAGAGAGAGAGAGAGAGAAAGAGAGAGAGAGAGAGAGAGAGAGAGAGAGAGAGAGAGAGAATGAGAATGAGAATGAGAGAATGAGAATCTGGAGCAGGCTCCATGCTCAACAGAGCCCAAGGTGGGGCTTGATTCCACAACTCTGGAATCATGACCTGAGCCAAAATCAAGAGTCAGATGCTCACTGACTGAGCCACTCAGGTGCCCCAATACCATACTGTTTTGATTACTGTAGGTTTGTAATAAGCTTTGAAATCAGAAAGTGTGTCAACTCCTATTTAATAACTATCTATGTCCCAGGCATTGTTGATGGAGCAGTGAATGAGACATTGTTCCTCTCTGTCCAAAGCCCTGCTCTCCTCCTGGTTCTTGACTTTCTCCTGGATAGTTAGGGTTAGCATCGAAATATCTTTCAGATAATAAGAGTTGCAATATCATAGTCACGTGACCATTCCTGACGAGGCTGAAGGTGATTACTCAGTGAATTTAGTACCAACATGAAAGTGTTCCATCTGTTGATTAAGTGTATAGCAGGTTATCTTGGTGAACATTTCTTGGTATGTTCCCCCCCCCCCCCCCCCCCCCCCCCCGCCGCACATAATGACCAAGTCAGTTTCTCATGGCTTTCATTGTAAACATTCCTGTTTGAAGCAAACCCTGTCTGATTATTGTGCACACCCTTCGAAGCCCCTCTTTTAGTCAAGTGTCTCTTGTAAGCAGAGTAATTCCCTTGAACTCACATAACAGATTGATAATGGAATTAACCTCTTAAAATCAGAAGAAATTTAAATGTGACCAAGAAATGTATTTAAAGGTACTCCACGATAAACTCTTCAGTGGAAAAGAGAGGGTTTATTAACATTGAGTTAATGTAAAATTCACCATTTGATGAATTTTGAATGCATTCAGTTTTGTAACCTCTACTAACACATGAAAAATCATTTTATTTGATAAATAAATGCTCGTCCTTTGTTCATGTCTGGAGTTTGACAACTAAGGTTGTGGTTGCTCGAAATACAGTTAAAACAGTTAACATTGTCATTGTTATACGCGATCTTTAAGAAAGCAAACGTTATTTACTAAAATGAATGTAGTGGAATTTCAGAATGGCTTTTGCAATTTGTTTCTAATACAGGCCTAGAATATCCTGCAGTGGTAGAGTTTGCCCCATTCCAGAAGATAGCCAAAAAGAAGCTAAAGAAAAAAGATGCCAAAACCGGAAGCATTGAAGATGGTGAGTCCTTTTACAAAGGCTGAATTAGGAAACTGCCAAACCAAATACACTGATCAGATATAATTCGTCTACCAGATATGGGGAGGAGCATGTTTATTTTCCATTTTTCTTTTCAAATTTACAGATCCGGAATACAAGAAGTTTTTGGAAACTTACTGTGTGGAGGAAGAGAAAACGAATGCCAATCCTGAAACTCTTCTGGGAGACATGGAGGCAAAGACAAGAGAGCTTATTGGTCTGTTTGCTCATTTCTTCTCTTTGTTGAGACGTGTACTTACAAAGCTTGTATTTCTTTTTCATGAGTATTTAAAAATACACGCTCATGACAGGCTTGGCAGGAATGTAGAATGTTTTCCAGTTGTAACAAAAGAATGGCAACCCATGAAAATATTTCTGCGTGTCTGTTGATGGAGAGCACCAGAACTTCCAGTCATAGGCGTTTTGTTGACAGTTATGATGCTTCCAGATGAGCAGTAAAGAAGACCGTGGAGTGCTCTGTGCCTGCTACATCAGGGAGGGAGTGCTGTGTCTCAAGATTGAAGTCAGTCATCTTTCTCAAGAGCAGTCCTAGAGATGAGATGCTTTGCCCAAGTGTGAGGCCATGTTGTTACTGTTCAGAAAATACCAAGCGCTCTGAGAGAGCAAGCAGACAAGTGGATAAACCCAGCCGGAGCACAGAGTCGGCTTTGAATCAGGCTTCAGCCCTTTTTTGCAAGCAGCATATTTTAGAAATGGCAATCTCCTGGTGGCAGGTTGTAAACTTACCTGGTGTCTCCCTTGCTGTCTGTTCCCACTCGCCCCTGCTCTCCTATCCCTCCCTGTGGCTGTGTCCCACTTGCCCATCAAGATGTCTAGAATGGGATGATTGCCCTGTTAATAATTTACATTTTTATTTACCCATCTCTCCCCACCCTCCCCCCCAGTAGAACCGTATTTTCATATTGGTGGTCCCAGTAGTACATGGTTAGACAAGGTTAGGTATTCAGTAAATGTTTGTTGAGGAAAGTAGTAAGAGAGGTTAACATTTTAAATGGTCTTCATTAGTCAAGTAATGAAGGTTTATGTTTTGTAACAGCTGATTTAATGTGTGGCTCAAAAGATTTTTAATCACTAAAGCAAGTATTTGTAAAGATGTGCTTAGGGTACATTTGCTCATTTTTGGTTAGCACATGTTGACTGGGAGTAGGGAGTGAGCATGGCCACGGCCATCACGTAGTTGCCCTGCTCATGGGCAAGACTGCAGTAAACACCCGAAAAATAACCAGGCTTCAAGCCAGGGCATCTTCATGGGGCAGTGCCACAATGTGGTGAAATAATTCTGAGTGGGAAAGGCCCTCTGAGTCCACATTTGAGCTGAGAGCAGCCATGCTAAGAGGCGGGAGAAGAGGGGACTAGAGATGAGAGCTGGGAGCTGAGCTGCGGGCCCATAGGAGTGGGATACGTGCCTGTGTGCTTGGTACACAGGTGGGCCTCAGGCGGAGTGGCTGGAGAGGCAGGTGAGTGAGAAGTTCGGAGTTTATTGGAGAGACAGCTGGAGACCATTGAGGGAGTGGCATGGCTTGATTAGTTCTCCCTGTCTCTCCATACATGATGGATTGTGGATGCCCTGAGGAGACATTGGGCTTCCAGTGGGGAGGCTTTGCTCCAGTCCAGGGAGGGCTGCTTGTGCTAGCCAGCAGAGTCCACATAAGCTCTGGCGGATTGGGTGTGGGAAGAAAGGAAACAGAAAGAATCCAGGCCCCCAGGAGTTTTACCCAAACAGATCAGTGGATGGGGGCACCATCACTGACCTGGGGCAAACTGGGGAAGGAAACTTACTGGAGGCAAATCGAGATCTCACTGTAGAGCATGTTAAATTTAGGAAGAGCTTAGAAAAGAAGCAAATTAAAAATTTACAGGACTTGCCCTGCCCCCCACCCCCCCACTATCATTTCTTTCCTACTTTGCTATAAAAGCCCTTGTACAGGGTACCCACAGAAAAAGACCAGGAACTTCCACTGGTGGATAGTTTTGAGGCAGGCCTTGGTGGCCAGACACACACCATCCAGCTGCTCCAGCTACCCTCCCACACAAGGGGGACATCCTTTCCCATTCCCAGCCCCTCACCTTGTTCCTGGTGCACAGCAGGTGATCATAGTGTTTTGCTGAATGAGTAAGTGTGATTCAGAATCTGTGCCCATTGAAGTTTGGATCTTAATCAGGCAATTCATGGCAGATTGCCTTTTTCTTTTCTTCGATTTTGGCCTTCAGTGGACTCTTACGATCTAGTCTGAGCAATGAGGGTTAAATGGAAATATTAAATCCCTCTGAAGTTGCAGGTTAGTGTGGTGGCATGGCAGGGTCTGTGGAGCGGACAGACCTGGGCTCAGGTTCCAGCCCTAAGACTTAGCAGCTGTGTCGCCTCACCTGAGCCTCAGCATCCCTGCTGCCAGGTGGTGGTGACAGTGCCTAGGATGGAACAGCTCTCTGTGAGTGGTGAGAGTCATGCTGTTGGATAAGTTAGTGTTATATTACATGACCATGCACCTTGTTTAACAAATGATACATTTCTGTGGTTTGTAAAGCACTTTCTTATCCAGGGTCTCATGTACCCTTCATATCGATCCTTTGGGGTAACAAGGGAGGTGTTTGTAGAAGGGGGAAGGCAGGTGGGATCTCGGTGTTAGCTCCCCCACCTACCCAGGGAGATCTTGGTCCTGCTCTTTGCCTACAAGTCCAGAACTCCCATGGTGAAGAGCAGATCCTCCCTATTTGAGGTGATTGCCTATTACAAAGGGCATTGGCTATGCTCATCCTGAGCCAGAGTTCATGGTTAACACAGGAGCCACCCAGGGAGGAAATGGGCTCCTCTTGGCCCCTGTACTTATGATGAAACGTGGGCATTTGCACAGCCCTGAATCCAGGGCAGAGCTTTCTTGGCAGAAGCCATTGGTATATTATGTTGCGGTGTTCAGGAGTCCTTAATTCCAAGGTAAGAACCCCTGCCCAGGGGCTTTCTTGTAGAATTTATGATTAATTCCTGATCCTTAGAATTCTGGAAATGTATGTCTTGACCAGCCTTCAAGTGCGTCCAGGGATTCTTTCTTCCCTCACTTAATCTTAGATCTTGAAAGAGCTGTAGCATAGACCCAAACCATCTTCTGCCTTCCCACCTGCATCCACAGCCACTGCCATAGGGAACACATGCTTCTCAGAAGCAATCCCTTTGAGAGGCTATGCCAGGAGGCCTGCCACAAATGGGCACCAAATTTCAGGTTAGGTCAGACAGGTCCAGGGCATGAAAACTGAGGATCAGGTTTGAGTTTATGGAGAGGTTCATCCCTGGGTGGCTAGTGCTGCTTAGATAAAGTGCCATGGGGTGGGGTGGAGGGGGGGGGGGGCGCGGGGCCAGTGTCACTGTCTAAACTTTTACACCTGGTTATTCTGGTTTGTAGAGTGTATATCATGCGAAATCACAAGAATCCACATTGCTTAAAATCATTGTCTAGAGAGCAGAAAAGGAAGAAACTCCCAGAATATATGTTGAATCAGTGAATCTATAAGCGGGCTATGTAATGTTTTAAAATATCCGCAAAAATGCGAAGATACTTGGGTGCCTGGGTGGCTCAGTCAGTTAAGCGTCTGATTCTTGATTTTGGCTCAAGTCGTGATCTCACGGTTTGTGAGTTTGAGCCCTGTGTTGGGCTCTATGCTGACAGCATGGAGCCTGCTTGGGATTCTCTCTCTCCCTCTCTCTCTCTCTCTCTCTCTCTCTCTCTCTCTGCCCAGCCTCCTCCCCCGCCCCCAATAAATAAACTTAAAAAAAATAATGTGAAGATACTCATAGCATTCAGGAAGTCTAATCCATTGTACTCATTTTTCTTTTTTGCTTTTATGGCGTCTTTGTGAGTAACATGAAGCCTCCCTTAAGAATCAGGAGTTCGTTGCCTACTGTGTGTAGAGTTGTCAGTACCTCCAGATGATGTGATTTTATAGTGATGGAATAGGAATTTCTCCAGGTACAATGTGTGCACATCTAAATTGTATTCGTTTATTTATTATAACTATTTTATTTATTTTTTTTTTAATTTTTTTTTCAACGTTTATTTATTTTTGGGACAGAGAGAGACAGAGCATGAACGGGGGAGGGGCAGAGAGAGAGGGAGACACAGAATCGGAAACAGGCTCCAGGCTCCGAGCCATCAGCCCAGAGCCTGACGCGGGGCTTGAACTCACGGACCGCGAGATTGTGACCTGGCTGAAGTCGGACACTTAACCGACTGCGCCACCCAGGCGCCCCTAACTATTTTATTTTTAAGTAATCTCTGCACTCAACGTGGGGCTCAAATTTCCAACCCCCAAATCAAGAGTTGCACGCTATGCCTACTGAGCCAGCCTGATTACTTAAGGATTAAATTGAAAAAAAGTATTTAAAATAAAGGAAAGAAATCATATTTTAGAGTTAAATACTACATTACAATTTTTGTGTTTTAGCTAGAAGAACCACACCTCTTTTGGAATATATTAGAAATAGAAAATTAGAGAAGCAGGTAGGTTGACCTTTTTTCCTGATAAATATCCTTCCTGTCTCTGCCACATTCGTGCAGACAATTTATACACATGCTTTTCCACGTCTTCAGAGGATTCGAGAAGAGAAGCGAGAAGAGCGAAGGAGGAGGGAGCTGGAGAAGAAGCGCTTACGGGAAGAAGAAAAGAGAAAAAAGAGAGACGAGGAGAGGTGTAAGAGAAAAGAAGCAGACAAACAGAAGAGAACAGCAGAGAGAGAAGTAAGGATTAAGGTAATCTTGAGGGGACCTCTCCTTTCGTTTTTCCAAAAGTAGTTCTGCTACAGGCACGCCTTTTAGGTGTTTAGCTCTTGCTACTTGTAAGGAAACTTGCAGTTAGCCTTGTCTCTTACTATTATAGTTCCATTTGTCTGCGATACAGCAGTGCTTCTCAAACTGTGTTCCCTGAGCCCTGGGGGTTCCTTGGGCATGCTGTGGGGGAGGTGGAGAAGGACCACCCAGCGGAGCCCCACACTTACATGTCAGAGTTGGGGCTTCTGCTTACGTTTCCATCAGAGAGAAGACTTCCTGACTAAAACGTACATGTTTGGAAACCACTGGCCCCATGTGCACTGGCCTTTCTAGATGAGGGCTCACTCCTGGTGTTGGGTGTTACCATTTTCTTTGCAGGAGCAGCAATGTTTCTACTCTCTTGCCCAATTTCTCCTTTGACTGATGCATTCATCTGGAAGGGTGGCTTCATGCACAGAAGGAGGTCTTTCCAGTGTAAAATATGTTGCCCCAGTTTGAGCCAGCCCTCACTTCTTAGTCTTCTGCTCAGATGACCTTACTAACCCTAGACTTCAACCTAATGTGCACCTCCCCTAATTGCACAAAGTGTTTGAGATGCTTTATAGGGATTCATTAAAATTATATCAGAAAAAGAAAGAAAAGATCAGGACTTGGGGGAAGATAGAGTAGAAAGGGAAAGGATGGGGAAGAGATCATAGTCATCATAATTGAGCAATAGACTGGTTTCTGGTATGCTTGATCAGAAACAGTGTCATTATCCATGAAGGAAAAACAGGCCAGTTCTTTAAGGAAGGCGAGGCTTTTTCTAGGCCTTTGCTTCTAAATCAGTTTCTCCTGTAGGTGGTCACATGGGGCTCACTGGCTGAAGGGAACAATTTCTTCACAAAACTTGTACAAAAACACACAACCGTGTGTATCCTTGAGGCCTGGCTAGGTTTGCTGCAGGAACAGGTAGCCTCACACCAGTTCACGCAAGGAGTCTGTTGGTGGCGGGCTGTGGCTGTCGGTCACTGCTTACCGTTACTGCCCAGGACCTGGCGACCAAGGCTGCACATTGGCATTTGCTTACACAGCCCTTATGACCAGGCAGGAACGTGTGATGCTGCAGGTCGTATGCCCATGTTTCTCTTCTGCCCACGTTTCACTGGCCAAAGCAAGTCACACGGCGGTACCTAACCTCAGGTTGGGGACATGTTTAGGAAACACCAGGAGGAGAACCAGAAGTATCTGATGAACAGCACTAAGGAGTAATTTCCAAAGACTGTTTATTCAGGTGTCTCTCTTGAAGCTTAAAGGCAGTGCGGGGCGCCTGGGTGGCTCAGTCGGTTAAGCATCCAACTTCAGCTCAGGTCACGATCTCGCAGCCCGTGAGTTCGAGCCCCGCGTCAGGCTCTGGGCTGATGGCTCAGAGCCTGGAGCCTGCTTCCGATTCTGTGTCTCCCTCTCTCTCTGCCCCTCCCCCGTTCATGCTCTGTCTCTCTCTGTCCCAAAAATAAATAAACGTTAAAAAAAAAAATTTTTTTTTAAATAAAGGCAGTGTTGAAAACCTTATCTAGATGAAAGGTGTGGGGCAGGTCATGTCCCTCGAGCACATTTGCTGCAAAGACAGCACCTGGATGGGCAAGATGAGTGGGGAACTGATTGTCCCACAGAAAGTATCTCCTAATCTGATAGCATTGATGAAATTGAGGAACCCAGCCAAGACTATCAAATAAACACGGTTCATTCCCCCCTCCGTCAGCAAGGGCATAGCAAAACCAGGGTATTCCTCAGGAAACAACTCTGAGGTCATGTTTTTCATTCGTCCTTGTAGTTTTAGTGAACACACAAGTCTCCCAACAAAATTGTAGCAGATAGACTTCCTGTAACAAACTTTTCATCTCCAACAGCATAAATCAACAGCCCTGGAAAGGTAATCAATAAAATGAAACCTTAATATTACAGAGAAACCTTAAGCATTAATCCTGACAGAAATTCAGTTCTGTCATGGCCAGGCACCAAATAGATATACGTTTAATAGAAATTTTGTGGCCACCGATGTGGAAATATTATCTAACCTTCTCATTTATCTTTCTAAACACGGAATCATAGCTAACCCAGTGCCTAATCTTTACACTCCAAAAGTACTTTTGTCAGTAGCGCTGAGAGTTTTTCAGGAATAATGACACTTGTAGCTTATAATTTCAGTTTTAATTTTAAGTAAGGCTTAAAGTATTTGGAGTGTAGCATTCATTTTACTTTTACATTTTAAATTATGGAATTAGGAGCGCCTGGGTGGCTCAGTCGGTTGAGCATCCGACTTTGGCACAGGTCATGGTATCACAGTTCGTGAGTCTGAGCCCTGCCTCGGGCTCTGTGCTAATAGCTCGGAGCCTGGAGCCTGCTTCGGATTCTGTATCTCCCTCTCTATCTGCCCCTCCTCCGCTCACACTCTCTCTCTCTCTCTCAAAAATAAGCATCAAAAAAAAAATTTACAAAAAAAAATAAATTATGGAATTAGAGTCCGAAATAAGTCAAAGAAATAAAAAACAAAATTATACCACTGAAAGTAAACATATGTTCCTTCCTGTAGAAAAAAATAAGTCAAAACATAAAGAAAGCAAGAGAAAGGGTTATTCTTGTTCAAATCTGGTAAAACAAAATCTTGGTGGCAGGTTAGACCACAATGGCATAGGTAATCAACAGGTTGTGTCCTTAGGGGAGTGTCTGGTGTCTAGACCTGATTACACACAGCCACGCCCAAGGTTTGCCTTTAATGAGCATCTGTGCTCATTTTCAGGATTTCTGACTTAAGAATCATTTGGAGAGTTAAAATTCTTTTGTAACCTGAAAAATAAAATCAGTGAAGAAATGCTAAAAGAGTTTATTAATATCATAAAAATACAGATGCAGAGAGATACCCTCAGGCTATTTTTAACATAAAGGAAACTGTGATACAAGGAAAGCAAAGCTGTTTTTATTTTCCTCTGAGGACTCTAAAACTAGGTGATGAGCTTAAGCTGAAGTAGGAAGTTAGAGATACAATACAAAGTTACAAATACAATTCCTGAGTACACAAATTGTGGACAATAGATGACATTAGTTGTGTGATCTTTTCTACAAAGCTTATTAAAAACCAAGGTGGACTTCGTGGAAGCACGCAAGACCTGGCCTCTGTTCCTCCGCCCCCTCCCTCGGGCGGGGCCCGCCGCCCTCGGCCCCTCTCCGTCCTCCTCCCTCCATCTTCCTCCTTCCTCTCCCCTCCCTCCCTCTTCCCTCCCCCACCTCCCTGAATCTCCTGCCTCTCTGTCTCCTCCTCCCTCTGGTTTCACCTTAGGCCTCTGCTTGCTTCCTTCTACTGGGAGTTTCCCCCAAGACTTACAGTTTCTCTTAAGTGTCTCGTTCTCATTATCTGGTCTCTATTCATGTCTAACCTCCACCGAGAGTCCCTCCATGACCCCCTTGAGAACCCATTCCTGCTCTTACTCTCACCCCACATCTCTCTGGGGATGTGTGTGTGTGTGTGTGTGTGTGTTTTCTGTTCTATTAGTTGTTTGTAGCATTTCACGCCATCTAAGATTATCTGGTTCACTTTTTCTATTTTGTCACCGCGTACACCGTTCTCCCCCTCCCCCCCATGGCCACCACTGCCTCAGCTAGAATGTACTGTGGATTCCTTCACCGTGGGCACTTGTCTCTTACTCACAACTGTATTCCTAACACCTAACGCAAGGACTTTTTCCCTAGTTCTGGCACATAGCTCCTAAAACCCTTGCAACCCCCGGAGTGATAAGAGCATCTTCTCTGTACCAGTGAGGTGACAGGTGGCTGAGGCCTTGGTAGCTTCAGGATAAGAGCTGATTGTCAGAAAGACTGGGTGTGATTAGAGTGTTGGAACACTCAGCCAGCCCTGTGACCTCAAGAGATGGGAGAGGGCTGGAGATTGAATTCAGTCCCCAGCCACCAATGATTTAATCATTTGTGGACATGTAGTGGAGCCTCCATAGAGTTCCCTAAAGTATGGGGTCCAGAGAGCATCCAAGCTGGTGAACACATCAAGGTGCAGGAGGGTTCTGCTGATGGAGAGGGCCTGGAGGCTCTGAGCCATTCCCCCGTACCTTGCATGGAACACCTCTTTGATCTAGCCGTCCCTGCACTGTGTCCTTTGTAATAATCCAGTGACCTAGTTCCTGCACTGTGTCCTTTGTAGTAATTCAGTGACCTAGTCTAACCGTCCCTGCACTGTGTCCTTTGTAATAATCCAGTGACCTAGTTCCTGCACTGTGTCCTTTGTAGTAATTCAGTGACCTAGTCTAGCTGTCCCTGCACTGTGTCCTTTGTAATAATCCAGTGACCTAGTCTAGCTGTCCCTGCAGTGTCCTTTGTAATAATCCAGTGACCTGGCTCCTGCATTGTGTCCTTTGTAATAATCCAGTGACCTAGTTCCTGCACTGTGTCCTTTGTAGTAATTCAGTGACCTAGTCTAGCCGTCCCTGCACTGTGTCCTTTCTAATAATCCAGTGACCTAGTCTAGCTGTCCCTGCAGTGTCCTTTGTAATAATCCAGTGACCTGGTTCCTGCATTGTGTCCTTTGTAATAATCCAGTGACCTAGTCTAGCCGTCCCTGCACTGTGTCCTTTGTAATAATCCAGTGACCTAGTTCCTGTGAAGTTTTGCTGAGTTCCACAAGTTGTTCTCATTCAAGAACCCCTGAATATATAGCCAGTCAGTCATAGGTGCTAGTGGCAACTTGGGACTTTTGACTGGCATCTGAAGTGGGAACAGTTTTGTGGGGTGTGACATTAATTGCAACTAGGTGGTGTCAAAACTGAAATGAATTGTAGGATACCAGTCCGTGTTGAGAGTTGGAGAAATGGTTTTGGAAAAGACACCACACATTTGGTTTCAGAAGTATTGCAAGTAAAAACGATTCGTAGGTGCACTAAATTATTCATTGGATGGATGGGCAGGAACATAAACTGTTGTACTTCCCTGTGATTTACTTCTAGGACCAGCATGTAATGCTTTTTTAGTTAAAAATGTGTCAATAGATATGTGAAAGAAAATGTGTCAATTCATAGAGCCCACAGACAGGAGAAGACTGTGTAAGGTACTGCAACTTCCAGTGCTTGGCCTCACATTTTACCTGTTTTATTCTTAAATGAACTCATGTAGTTGAAACTTATCTGTGTGTCATTTTGCTGTAGTGCAATTTAAAATACGTTCACTTTTTCAAGTTAGAAAAAAATTCTCAGAAGGGTACCTTCTGTTTTTGTTTATAAACTGACTTGCCTGTGGCAGTTGAATTTCAAAGAGTAAACTACACAGAGAAGAGCAAGGAGGGCCCAAATTCCACGACAGCCACCTGCTCAGGCTGATTCAAGAAAGAGTAGGAAGTGTTCTGAAAAGTCTAAACTATTCTAAAAGTCATCAGTATAGTGCAGCATTTTAAACAATGCTTTTTTGTCCTCGTTACAAAAGCAATACTTGTTAATTTTGGAAAAAAACAGAACTTGTTGATACAAGAAAAGAAGATCATTTCAGTCCCACCACCTGGACACCACTGTTAACAGCGTTGCCAGCCTTACAGCTGTTGTTGTGTGTGTGTAGACACAGAGACCAGGTCGTTCAGTTCTGTAGCATTCTTTTGTTGTGTCAGCATGCATGTCTTCTCACATCAGCCGTCCTAAATCGTTGTTCATAACGATGGTATTTCGTTGACTGACTGTTCCCGTATTTAACCAAAAACCTGGTTGCTGCACCTTTAGCTTACATTTTTTGCTATTCAAACACTTGTGCTCAATGTTGCTTTATGTTTTTAATTTTTTTTAAAACAGCTTCGTTTATACCATATTCTAAAAGTGATATTTTACTGACATAATTTCTTAGCTTCTTAAGAAACCAGAAAAGGGAGAGGAACCAACCACTGAGAAGCCAAAAGAAAGAGGAGAGGAAATGGATACTAGAGATGGAGAACAGGAGTCCTGTCCTGGCTGTGCTGCCCGGAAGCCCATGCCCTTGGGGAGCTCGCTGGAGGAGCCCAGGGAAAAGTGAGCCTGTGACTGTCACTGTGTCAGAGTCGTATGTGTCCTTTATCGTATTTCAAACTGTTTGTGGAACCGGGTTTTACCAAGATAATGCCCACATCCTTATTTCTTCTGGGTCACGCTAGGGGCTTGGTAAATGCATTTCGTCTGCAGCCTCAAGTCTGTCTTCAAAGCAGGAACATGTCCTGCTTCCAGTTCCTTAGCCGTTCCTGTCCTTGCTCCCTTTGGATTCCTGTTATCACTCTTTAGGTCTTCAGGATCTCCTTCCCATTCTTGTCCAAGTGCTAGGATTCCTGTGTTGGTGTTACCATCCCTGTGGCCCTCCCGTGGAATCTGACCAGCAGCTGTGTGGATCCCAGTATTGCGCTAGCCCTGCCTGTCTCAGGCTAGGGGTCCTTGGGGCATGTACTTCTCTGCGTGCTTGTGACATGCAGCTCACGAAAGGAGCTTGAGCAGGGCTTGTGTGGAATGGGACAGACACTGTCTTTGCATGGGGGCCAGAGAGACCCGCCAGAACCTTGTCAGGTAGGAGCCCCTCCCTCTCGCCCCTGAGCCTCCTCAGGGTTTGGTCACCTCCCCACAGTCAGTGGGGCCACGCGTGTCTGGGCTTCTTGTTCCCCTGGCCCAGGGCTCCTGCTCGTGCACTGCATCCGGACACCCATGGAGCTTCCTGGATCCCAGGGCTGCTCTGCTTCCAAGGGGTCCAGAAGTGAATTTGCACTTGGATGTGAGATGGCAGGGTTGTGGGGTTAGGCTGCCATTTGCCCAGAAACATACCAGTCACAATGAATTCTTACTGTCTTTCTTATACAAAGAGTTGTGATAAAAAAAAATGTTTCCCTCTTTTTGGGGATTCCAGTTTATTGCTCAGTTTATGAAATTAATTTATGCATGATTATTAAATCTGTGATCTGTTAGGACTGTAGTTTCTGTTATATGTGTTTGTATTATTATCGCTTATGATACAGCAGTGCCTTTCGTCATGTTTCTGGCATGAATTCTCACTTTGCTTATAGATCTTTTTCTCCCCAGCAGTCCTGCTGCTTCAGTTTTGTGGGAAGTCAAAAATAGTGTGTGAGGACTTTGCCTGTTGGTTGTGGACTTTAAGAAGCAAAGGAGCTAAGGAGCCACTTATTTATTTACTATTCATTTAAGAGTTTGATATATGTATAAAATTAGTAAATTTCAATTAATTGTAGCTACGTGAAGCAGAAACAAGGCTGTCAGTATCAGCTCTGTGTCATGATGAATGTGTACCTGGGGCCCTAGGAAAGTCACTTGACCACTTTGGTCTCCGGTACTCTATCTGTAAAGGGGGTTGTTAGTCTACTTTGGGGGGTTATTAAGAGTTAGAAAAGTAAGTATACATAGTTCCTTACCACAGTGCCTATTCCTACGTGTCATTCAAGTTTAACAGTAGATACTGTCGTTACCATTGTCAGTTCATCTTTTAGCAGTTTTTTATTGAATGCCTATTACGTGCCCACTTGGCAGCGTGGTGATGTGCAGACTGAGGTATTCCCTGCCTCTTCTGGAACTTGCGGTATGGACGGGCAGACAGGTTCTCATCAAGCAGTATGCCTGAGGTGACTGATAATTTGAATTGAATCACAGGTCACAGAATGAGAGCAATGAAGAGCAAAGGGAGTTGGACCGAAGATTCAGAGAAAAACACCCTGAAACACAAAGATGCCACTTGGATGACAGTAGAAAGCAGAGAGCTCACTGTGAGTTTGACACGTTTTCGCGGAGAAATGAGGAGGAGCTGAGATGGGGGAAAGGAGGCCCCCCCCGACAGAGGGAAGAAGGGGAGCCAGGACAGTGGCAACGCTGTGGAGGCAGCAGAGCGGCCCGGGAAAGAGCAGAGGAGTGAAGGTGGCCCAGCAGCCAAAATGGAGCGCCCAGGAAACAAGGTTCTTCTGCTTGTTTGGGATCATCTTTCATTCATCAGCCGTAAAACACAAACAGCACATCTGCGGCTTTATGCCTGCTTTATCAGACGGAAGTTGTTTTAGTTAGCCCAAAGAGAGAAATCTGTGTAGGTGTCGGGGACTTAGGGTCACACACTCTGCCAGTGGGAAGTCTGCCCCCACTGGGTCCTGTGCTCTTAGGGAGTGCACTGCCCTGACAGTTTGCATTTCATGACGCTTCAGGGAGCTTTCTTTTACGTGATTAACAATGTAGTGATTATTAGTAGATAGTCAAATGGCTCATAAATACTCATCAGTTAGGTGTGCACAGTCGACACAGGATTGGAGTGGCCTACTTAGACCAACAAACGGCTTTTCTTTCTTTTTTCTTTTTTTTTTCCCCAGAAGTTTGAGGTTAACTTTTACTCAGATCACATTGTTGTAGAGAAGCACTATTAATGGGGTCCCCTCCCTATAGGGCCAGGCCCCGTGGTGCCAGTGAGTCCCCCACAGCCTGGCCGCCCAGTGTCCAAGGGGAACACCCTCATCCCACCCCATTCCCAACCTCGACAGGGACACTATCTGCTGTCTGCATGGTTTTGTCATTGCTATATAAGTGCTATGTAAGTGGAAGCATACAGTGTGTGACCTGAGACTGTTTTTCTCACTCAGATCTGCCTTCCTTTCCAGTCACCCAGGGTGTTGCTGGTATTAGTGATGTTGATTTTTAAAATGTTTCCAGGGCAGGCAAAACCACAGGCAAGAGGAGAGCCTTCTTCACTCCTGGCTAATCACATCTGTGTCACCCAGGAGTTTCTCTAGTTTCCTTAATCTCAGGTACACCAGAACAGCCATGGGTCTTTTTGGTGGGAGGTGTTTATACGAACACTTGTTTTCAGCTCCCTTTTTTTTTTTTTTAATTTTTTTTTTTCAACGTTTATTTATTTTTGGGACAGAGAGAGACAGAGCATGAACGGGCGAGGGGCAGAGAGAGATGGAGACACAGAATCGGAAACAGGCTCCAGGCTCTGAGCCATCAGCCCAGAGCCCGACGCGGGGCTCGAACTCACGGACCGCGAGATTGTGACCTGGCTGAAGTCGGACGCTTAACCGACTGCGCCACCCAGGCGCCCCTCAGCTCCCTTTTTTTGTAGCAGCAGTGAGCACAGCTTTAGGCGTTGGGAGTCTTCTCCATGAACTCTGTGATGCTGTGGTGGAAATGAGGCGCCTTGTGCATAATGGCTCCTCCTTACGAGGCCTGGCAGGTTACGATGTTCTTTCAGTATCAGTGTTGACCCCCATCTGTGCACACCAGTGCTGCCCTGGTGAGAGCAGGACCATGTGTGTTGGCCCGGGCAGGAGGTGGCATGTGAACCCTGCCCTTCCTCTGCACCCATGGGGCCTGCCGAGGCCTTTGCCACTCTCCTCCCTGGCCAGGCTTCCACCGGGGAAAAGGGCTGCTAAGTGCCCTGGCAGTGACTGTGGGGCCCTGCAGAAACACCTCCCCAGATATGCCCACCTAAGCTGCCCTGTCCTTGGGCCCCTAGGTAGCCACGGAAGGAGTGTAGGAGGCTTCCTTGAGGGGCTGGAAGCTCCCCTGAGCTGGGGTTTGGTTGTTCCTCCTCTCCGTCAGAGCAGAGCTACCTGGCTTCTGCTGTTCTGTCCTTCCCTGGCCTCACTGTGCTGATATCTGGAAGCAGTTCCGTAGTGTCTTACTCACGTTGCTCAACCATCATTGCGTTTCTCCACCTCTAAGACTTGAATCAGATGATGGGTTGGTGTTTCCTATGAAGGGGCAGTTCAGGAATAACCCACATAGAAATCACTCATTACAGACATCAGTAATTATTTAGTTCATGGCCCTAAAAAGCCGCCTCTGAGGGGCCATGCCTTGCTTTGTCTCAGGCCACATGTTCACCCTGCCTGGTAATTTAGAGGGGCTGAAATGTGTAAGTCTTCACCTCTGCCTGGGAGGGCAGACGCCGTGGTTCTGCTGGTTCCAGGGAGATCTGGGTTTGCACAATAACCTTTTCCCAGATACTAATTTTTACCTTTTTTCAAGTTATTTTATTTTATTTTATTTTTTTTTTCAACGTTTATTTATTTTTGGGACAGAGAGAGTCAGAGCATGAACGGGGGAGGGGCAGAGAGAGAGGAAGACACAGAATCGGAAACAGGCTCCAGGCTCCGAGCCATCAGCCCAGAGCCTGACGCGGGGCTCGAACTCACGGACCACGAGATCGTGACCTGGCTGAAGTCGGACGCTTAACGGACTGCGCCACCCAGGCGCCCCTTTTCAAGTTATTTTAAATACTAACTGTCTTTCTGTTCATGGCTTTTTTTTTTTTTTTTTAGCTTCAAAGTGCCTGGTTTCTGAGATGAGATAGTGCTGTGAAAAAGGCAGATTTTTAGCTGATTTTTTTTAGGTAATTAGAGTTATCAGACCCTGGAAGTAGAGAAGTTGCTCCCTCCTGTGTTGCTGGCCTTTGGAAGGGTAACCCACTGCTCTGTCCTGGCAGGATCGGCCGGCCTTGCAGCTGTACCAGGCAAGAGTTCGCATCCGAGCACGAGAAGGTGGTAGGGGAACCTCTGTGGAGTGCCCTGGCAGGAACAAGGATGAGGCTGAAGATTCAGCACAGGGGGGTTCCCAGAAGAGCGAAGAGGCGGGGTGAGTCAGCGCACATGTTTGGGACCTCCCGTTCGGCATTCTGTGGGTTAGAGAGGGCATTCTGGAAATGTACAAATCAGCCTTGAATCTAACCTGCAAAGTGAATTTACTCCTTATAAAGAAATCAGAAACTAGAAATATAAATGTGGCATAGAAACATCTAGAAACCATTTTTAAGAAAGAAGCAATCTTTTAAAAAATTGAAAAGTTGTCATAGATTTTATTATTTTTAGTATAAAGTAGTATGTATCATTTAGCCAAAATAGCCTGTACTTTGAGTTCTACACATTTGTAAGTGATCTGTTGGGATTCATATCACGTAGTATGTGAGCTATTGTTCGGGGGAAGGGAGGGCTCTCATTCCATTGTAACTCGGTGATACAGACACCTGTGCCATCTGTCCTGAAGATTCCCCGAAGTCTGTATTGTGTTATAGCCCCTGTGATAGAACTTAACACTGTATAAAATCTGACAGCTTTAAGAATTGCCCTTTTAGCAATGTGGCCACTGACTTTTTTCACAGTCTTTTGGTGGATGTGCTCATGGTTTATAACCACCGTAATTTAAGGGTTGCTGAGACAACGTAAGGGCATTATTTTGGGACAAGGATAACTTAGTTATGGCATCTAGGGTTTTTCTTTTCGCAGTCTGAGGCAGTTTTATTTTGAAATGACTCATTGGAACTTTCTGCAGTTACGTGTTCTACAGTATTTTTTAATGTTAGTGAAATTTTTAAACATTAATGTATTTTTGGCACTATGCTTTGAACCACTTACTAAATAAAAATTTTAGTTGCTATGAATTTGAAGTCCAGTTGTACTTTTCCTACATCAAATTTTACATAATAAAACATTGCTTTTTAAAATGTAGCTTTAGGGGCGCCTGGGTGGCTCAGTCGGTTAAGCATCTGACTTCAGCTCAGGTCATGATCTCACACTTCGTGGGTTTCAGTCCCACGTTGGGCTCTGTGCCGACAGCTCAGAGCCTGGAGCCTGTTTCAGATTCTGTGTCTCCTTCTCTCTCTGCCCCTCCCCACTCTCGTGCTCTCTCTCAAAAAATGAATAAACATTAAAAAATTTTTTTTTTAAATAAATAAAATGTAGCTTTAGTTATCTGAGAATTTTGCTGGTTGTATCTATTCCTTTCTAGATATGAAACATTTATCAAAAAACTTAGAATACTCATTTATCATTAAAAATGTCTGTCAGACATATAGTCTATTCCATGGCATTGCTATGCCCTTGCTCTTGACTCTGGAGCTCCAAGAATTTGGCGGGGGGAGGGGGCAAAGGACTTGCTGTGATTTAGTGAGGTCTATGTGACCTGGTGGGGTCAGCCCTGATGGAAAAAGGGTAGGTGGGTAGTAACTATTTAGATGTTGCAGGCTCTCTGGTCTCTGTTACAACTTGCAAACTCTGCCATTATGCAGTACATAACAAATGGGCAGGGCTGTGTTCCAATAAGATTTTATTTATAAAGATACATAGCAGGCCATATTTGGCCTGTGGATCGTACTTTGCTGATTCCTACTTAGACTTTGGATCACACTGGATTTCCTGATCAGTGAGACACTGTCCTCACTGCTCACTTGGGCTTTGATCTGTAAACACAAGTACAGCTCAAAATAGAATAAGAATAAAGGCTTGAACACAAGACCTGAAACCATCAAATTTCTAGAAGGAAACACAGAGGGTTAGCTCCTTGATACCAGTCTTGGTGATAATTTTTTATATTTTGACACCAAAAGCAAAGGCAACAAAAGTAAAAATAAACAATGGAACCACATTGAACTGAAAAACTTCTTCACAGGAAAGGAACCTATCTATAAAATGAAGAGGCAGCCTATGGAGAGGAAGAAGATATCTTCAAACAACACACATAATAAGGGGTTAATATCCAAAATATGGAAAGAATTCATAACAACTCAATAGCAAAAAAAAAAAAACCAAATTACCCAATTAAAAAAGAAAAAGGAGCAAAAGACCTGAATAGACATTTTTCCAAAGAAGACATCCAGATAGCCAACAGGTGCGTGAAAAGGTGCTCAGCATCACTCATCACCAGGGAAATACAAATCAAAACCACAATGAGATACCACCTCACACCTGTCAGAGTGGGTAAAATAAAAAAGACAAGAGAGCAAGTCTTGGCAAGGATGTGAAGGAAAGGGAACCCTCATGCAGCGTTGGTCGGAATGCCAAATGTTAGAGCCACTATGGTTTGCCAGCGTGGAGGTTCCTCAAGAAATTAAAAATAGAACTACCATATGATCCATCAGTGCCACTGTGGGCATAGATCCAAAGGGAATTGGAAGCACTACCTCGAAGAGATATCTGTTCACATGGTTGTCACAGATTATTCACAGTAGCCAAGGTGTGGAAACAGCCGTAGTGTCCACTATGGGTGAATGGATAAAAAAAATGAAATGAATATTATGCAGCCTTAAAAAAGGAAACCCTGCCATTTTCAACAACATGGATGAACTTGGAGAGCATTATACTAAGTGAAGTAAGCCAGACAGAAAAAGACAAATACTGCCTGCTATCCCTTATATATGTACAGCCTAAAAAAAAAAAAAGTCAAACTCATAGAAACAGAGTAAAATGGTGGCTGCCAGTGACTAGGGCATGAGGGAAATAGGGAGAGGTTAGTGAAGTTCTGTTATTCAGTTATAAGATTAATAGGTCAAGGGTCTAATGTATAACATAGTGACGATAGTTAATACTGTATTGTATAATTGGAATTTGCCAAGACAGAATTTTCTCACCAAAAAGAAGTAAATATGTGAGGTGCTATTTATTACTCAGTGTGAATCCTTTCATAATGTATGCATTTTACCAATCGGTATGTTGTATGCTTTAAATATATATTATAAATTTACTTGTCAATTATACCTCCATGAGGCTGGAAAATAAGTAAATAAAAAGTAGCTACATCCTGTGAAAGATTCTTGAGATCTGTCCCCAGGGCTTCGCAGAAGTCACTTTGAGATTACTGATTTAAAACAATAATACATTTGTATAATGGACTACTTCGGTATAAAACACTTCCATGTACACTCCCTAGTTTTGGCTTAGACTCATTTTTAAGATGGTTGGGCAGGACACGACACACATAATCTCCCTTTTACAAACTAAGAAACAGGTTTAGAGATGTCCAGCACTTGTTGCTGGCAAAGCCAAAAGCTGTTTTCATATTCGTAAAGTTTTTATTACTAATTACTCAGAAATAAGTTTTTGAGTTTATCACATGTCTAAGAAATGATAGAAATGTTAAAGAATATTCTTCACACGGGCATTGCCCATGGGAGCCCGTATTGTGGGGAGGGCTCCCATGACCAAGGAGTGGGGTGGGGTTGGCCACCTGTTGGTTCACTTTCTAGTTATTCCTCTGCAAAACTTTCTTTTTTCTGTTTCTCATTTTGGATTTGTTTTTGGTTTTATTCGGCTACCTAAGTATTTTATTTTTATTTTTATTTTTCAGAGAGAGCACGAGCAAGGGAGAAGGGCAGAGGGAGGGAGACAGTTAATCCCAAGCAGGCTCCATCCTAAGCACAGAGGCTGATGCAGGGCTCGATCCCACAACTCTGAGATCATGACCTGAGCGAAAATCAAGAGTTGGATGGTCAACCAACTGAGCACCGCCCCCCCAGGCGCCCCACAGCTACCTAATAATTTTAGTAATTATATTTAAACATGAACATAGCAAAGCAGAGCATTAACTATCAGTATTTTAATGGCTCTCAGTCTTGCTAGTAAATTAGAAACACCAACTGACTGAAGTAATTCCTCAAATCTGACGTGAAATAGGTACCTTGAAGAATCTCACATGCATCCTTGGAAATAAGTTTTCACTTGCTTGATAATAGTATTACCAAGTAATTGTCTCCCACTTAATGAATCACATGACAGTGAAACACTTGGGGAGGGTGAGGTAGCTCACGGAGCAACAGGTTCTTTAATACAAGTCTCAGGAAGTCTAGTGGATCATGTGGCCCCAGGAACTAAGGAGAGGAGTGGTTATGGCTCAGCCGCAGTCGTGACATGGAGAGGACCTCGGGTGGAGAAGGGCATGAATTTCTTCACATTACGCCATGAGAAAGGATTTTTTATTTTCATCTGTATGAGTGAATTCTCATTTTTAAGTCTATTTTCTTAACTCTGATGAAAAGAGAGGTAATTATACTTTAGACAGATTTGTTTTCTGTTCTATTCTTCCTGTCTTTAAAATTAAGAACATGTCAGAGATTAAAATGGAGAATTTATTTTTAAAAAAAATTTTTTTCAACGTTTTTTATTTTTGGGACAGAGAGAGACAGAGCATGAACGGGGGAGGGGCAGAGAGAGAGGGAGACACAGAATCGGAAACAGGCTCCAGGCTCTGAGCCATCAGCCCAGAGCCTGATGCGGGGCTCGAACTCATGGACCGCGAGATCGTGACCTGGCTGAAGTCGGACGCTTAACCGACTGCGCCACCCAGGCGCCCCTAAAATGGAGAATTTAAATGGATATTTGATCTATTCAATCTGTGTTAATTACTACCAAAAAAAGAAAAAAAAAAGAGTGAAAATAAGTTTATTTTCAGAACAGTGTTCAGAGTCAAGAGGCTTGTTTTTTTGTTCGTTTGTTTTTCCCCAAGCAAATTAGCCTGCTTAAATCCACCAGGTAATTTCTTCAACCCAGTCTCAACTTTAGTAAGGTTTAATGATAGTCATTATTATATGAAAATTCAGTTTAAATCCTTACTTTTAAAAGTTTGTCACTTCAGTCAAGTTTAGAAAAATGCTGTCTTCTCTGTTTGTTTCTGTTGGCCTGCATTTTGGTAGAAAGCTTACAACTTCTTGTAAGTGTCTATCCTTCTTTGTGTCAAAAGCATGTTTGTCTTGTAACACGTTAAATTTCTTCCCCAAGTTCTTCACTGTTACACATCTAAAAAAATAATTACATAAGTAACTTTGTATGACTAAAGGGATAAAAGGTAAGGCATCTTGGCCAATTTAAACACAAGCAGTCTGCCCCATAGAAGAATGGCATTTTTCAATGATAATAGCATTTTTAGTAGAATAAATTATTGTCATGATAGAAAAATCAAGGTGCCAAACTGAGAGCCGTGTGCCTACATATAATTTGCCCAGTTATACATGCACGAAGTAGCCACTTCCTGCATCACTGGGACCATGCTTTTTTTTTTTTTTTTTTAACGTTTATTTTTGAGAGACAGAGCGTGAGTGGGGGAGGGGCAGAGAGAGAGAGGGAGACACAGAATCTGAAGCAGACTCCAGGCTCTGAGCTGTCAGCACAGAGCCTGACGCGGGGCTCGAACTCACGAACCGCGAGATTATGACCTGAGCCAAAGTTGTACGTGTAATTGACTAAGCCACCCAGGTGCCCCAGGACCATACTTTCCTGAACCAAAAAATGGAACAATTGATTTGACAAAGGATTCTTGTGTCACTTGGGTGTGAGGGCCAATGTAGGAGATGCTGTTTGGGTACAAAACTGCTAGCGTTTCTTAGATGTGTTAACAGTGATAGAAACCATGATATTCACATTCAAGCCTTACTATGGACTAAACTTGGTCTCCACAGGGTTCACATGTTGAAGTCTTAACTGCTTCCTCAGTGTGGCTATATCTGGAGTAAAGAAGTAATCAGTGTTAAATGAGGTCATAAGTATGGGGCTCTGATCTGATAGAATTAGTGTCCTTGTAGGAGGAAACACCAAAAGGTGCCCACGTGTAAGTTAGGAATGCCTCACTAAGAACCAAAACAGCTAGCACCTTGATCTTGAACTTCCAGCCTCT